TCCACTGATCTGTTGCCAGAGTCAAGCCGAGCTGAGTTCCCCAAACATTCGGTACACAAGAACCAGGGATGCCTCGTATATTCCCTGCCCATACGGGCGTGCTCGGTCTTACTATCATCTCCACCAATTTGCAGTAATTATCCTGATTAGGGGCTACCAAAACAGTCATATATGGATCGCATCACACACACATTCTTCCAACAATCATCTTCTTGATTACTGTGCAGAGTGCAGTGTCTTCTTGCATAATAGCTGGGGCAAATCCACCGCAAAGCAGTACGCAAGCTGTAGCGTCAACTACAGTCTATCAAAAAATCTACCACAGCAGTTGATAAACTCTAATCGTCCCAATTCTTCCACATACGACCATCGGCAAAATGCAGCACTGGCTCTCGTTGGATCGCCATACGTTAAGTCTTTGACCGGCGGATCAGTAGTCAGTTGGGTGACCACTGGCGAATCCCCGCTGTTGTATGTTTTTTTGGGGTTACAAGAAAACTTCAAATCGTATTTTTGTTTCTTTCATCGTCCCACATTGATACTTTCTTTTGGAAGTTCTGACCACTTCACATGAAGATGAATTTGACAAGATAGAGAGAGCAGGCTGACTGTGTAGCGGGGCTAGCTCGGAGATGGTACAAAGGAACGGCTAACACCCCGCATTCCCCGCCATGCATCGCGGAACGAAAGAAGCGAGCATGTACAACTGCCGAGTATGACATCGAGTATTTCAGCACTGCTTGGCTTCGACAGTGTAAGTGTATCTCAAGCTCATAAATATTCTGCAGCAGCGTCTTCATGCTATCTGTGCAACTGGATTAACATGGCACTAGACGCCCTCGCCCACGTACCATCCTATCTATGGTTTTCTCTCATAGTCGCTGTACCTCTTGTAGCGCTGCTCCATGACGCATGGATATGGCTACGGATGCCTCCAGGCCCAACACCTCTTCCATTCTTAGGCAACAAGCTGCAACTCCCCAAGTCGAAGCCATGGATCCAGTTCCAGGAATGGTCGAAGGTTTACGGCCCGATATTTACCATATGGATCGGTCGTAAACCCACAATCGTCATATCGGATCCGGACATTGCTGTGGAGCTAATGGAGAAACGAAGCGCCAAATACTCGTCTCGTCCTCGCATGGTGGCTATGGGCGAGATACTGTGGGACAATGCAAGCATACTGGTCCAGCCTTACGGCAAGGAATGGAGTGTGCGAAGGAAACTACTTCACCAGGCCTTGACACCCAAAGCATTGAGGCTATACAAACCTGTGCAAACGGCAGAGGCATCACGGCTATGCTCTCAATTATTAGAAAGCCCTGCGAGCTGGGAAAAGTTGCTTGAGCGGTTTACTTCCAGCATCGTCTTCTGTGTTGCATATGGGCACCGTATTGATTCACTCAACGCCCACGTCATCCACCAACGCTTCAAATTCATGCACGTCGCTGCATCGCTTAATGTGCCTGGAAAATACCTGGTTGAGTCGTTTCCCATTTTGAAACACATTCCTGATGGCTTGGCACCTTGGAAAGCAGATATAAAGAGCCGGGGGCGAGAAGAAGCAGCCGCAAACATGGCATTAGTCGAAACTGTGCGCTCTGATCTTGCTGAAGCAAAGAGCCAAGGCAAAGACATCCCAGACTCGCTGTGCAAGCTACTTTTAGAGCTTCGCAAGCAAGAAGACATACCACTGTCCGACCGCGACTTCTCCTACATTCCAGCATCCCTGTTCGGCGCTGGATCCGACACCACAGCTTCGACCCTCTGCACTGCTTTTCTAGCTCTCATCACACACCCTGAAACCCTACACGCAGCCCACAAGGAACTAGATGAAGTCATCGGTCCCAGCCGCACCCCAACATTCGAAGACGAACCACATCTCCCCTACATCCGCGCTTTAGTCAAGGAAGTCCTACGCTGGCGTCCCGTGGCAGTCCTCGGCGGCACACCGCACGCCTCCACAGAAGACGATTTCTACAACGGGCACTACATTCCGTCCGGCACAACCGTCATCGGCAACTCGTGGGCTATCAATTTGAACGAAGAGTATTACCCTAACCCCCACCACTTTGACCCCACCCGTTTCCTCGACGAGGCGCTCGCCCAGCGCGCAAAAAACCCCACACATGTTTCGGGGAAACCGCACCCTGCAAAAGCAGGCCACTCGTCGTTTGGCTGGGGCCGGCGAATCTGTCCCGGGGCCCATTTAGCGGAAAACAGTCTCTTTATTGCCTTGGCTAAGATACTTTGGGCGTTTGATATCGTGCCTAAGCCGGGTGTGCGGTATGATATTTTCGATTATACAGAGGGTTTTAATATCAGGCCGAAGCGGTTTGAATGTGAGATTAGGGTGAGGAGTGAGGGGCATCGGGATGTGCTGGGGAGGGAGTTGAGGGATGCGGAAGGTGTACTTGAGAGGTTTACGCCGTTTGATGAATGAAGGGGGGAATGTTGGATGATAGTCACGACTCTACGGTGTAGGAAATAAAGACTTGATACGGTGTTGAACAATCGTAGCATCTTTGATTCATCGCCATGGTATCCAAACTAGAGCTATGTACTATATATATCCGCAAGACCTAAATCGCACAGTGCCTAAACAAAGCAAACAAACGCCCCTAAAACTCGATGTCACCTTGGACAGAGATAAATCCAAGGATATAAACGCCATCGCCATGCAGTTGAAAATCTCGTAAAACAGGAAAACGAAAAAAAAAAAAATCATCACGACCCAAACGCAACAGCAACAGCAACTGCCAGCACAACCGCCAACAGGTTCCCCCTCTCCATAGCCCCGGATCCCGTACTCTGCACCAAGGCCTCATCGCTCACACTCTTCCTGCCAACAATCGAGCCGACAACGCCATTCGCACGATCGACATTATCAATCGCAGGGCCCATGTTGAAAAAGTCAACAAGGACGAAATTCGCAGGCTTGCCATACACACCCGTGCACTCGTCCAGGGCCACGCCCATGGCCCCAAATCCCGTCGCGCCATTCGTAACATTAGCGTACGTCTCGTTGGGCGACTGGATGCCGAAGATTTGGTTCTGGTACAGGAAGTGGTTTTGGAGGAACATGCGGCCGGACTGGGCTGCTGCGTCGGGGGAGCCGAGGCCCGTGGGGCGGTTTGGGGTGCACGAGTAGTTGGACGGGTCGACGTTTTCAAAGTCGTTTTCGAAGATGAAGGTGAATTCGTCCATGAGGTAGGGGTATTGGGGTGAGGCGCCTTCGGAGAGCGAGGCGACAAAGGTCATGAGGCGTGTGTTGTTGCCGATGAGGGCGTCGAGGGTAGGCCAGGTTTGCGGGAGAACAGAGGTAGAGGGTGGAGTGTAGGCGAGCTTGTCGATGCCTGAAGTGCTGAATATCGTGCCTAGGTCGGAGGTGGAGGCGCTGTCAGAGTTTACAAGGAGGACGGTTACGACGTCGTTTGGGTTGGCGTCCATCCAGGTTTTGATCTCACCGAGCCAGTCTTCAAGTGTACCGGCGTCGAGCAGGTCGCAGCTGCTGTGGCAGAGATGCCATTGTGCCAAGCCAGAGTCGTTGGACTTGTGGAGTTGGGCGCTGAGTAACCGTACGCCAGCGTCAAGCTGAACAGTGGTGTTGTAGTATTGGTTTCCCGATGTGGAAAAGGATGTTTCTTCGTTTCGGAGAAAGGGTGAGTCGTGTGCGCCGAGGAAGGTGATGTTGTTATATGGCCGGCTGCATAGGTCGGGCGAGTTGTTGCAGGCGTTCTGGGCAGAAGCCGATGTGTAGAACATGGACAGCATGGCCGAGGCCTGCAGTAATATGCTTCTTGAGAACATGATGATTGTTGTGTGCAAATGTGTTCCAAGTCTTACGTAGAGCCCAGCTCAAATAGTTGTAGGTCGTTGTGTTGTTCGTTGTCAATCGCAAATTCGTAAGTCGTGAATGCCCGAACCAAACAAACCGACTATTCGTTGTCCGTGCAAAAATCTTGTATGTAGATGTCGTTGAAAGAAGAAAGTTAAAAAGGCGTTAATGGGTTATATGTCAAAGAAAGCTGGGGCAACGTTGACTACTACAGCGTTACGTAGCTCGTCTCAGCCCAGCCACCCAAGGCCACATGCAATAATTATGGAAACAGCTGAGCACTCGGGTACGAGGAGAAAAAAGAGTGGCGCCGTTGGAGCCTCCACTAATCGTAGAGAAAGACATGCATTAGTGGAGCCTCACTAGCCTTTGACAAGACGTTCGGTCCCTCCAAGTTGCCTGCACAGCCTACAAAGGCCGCGAGTGCGAGGCGGTTTCATGCGTCGTCAGCGCCGGGCCATTCGAAAGGGCGCTGACGCTCAAACGCCACCGAAACGAACGCTGCTGCATACTGACTGGTGACTGAAAATTTTGGCATGTTCCTACATGCAGCTTTCTCAGCTTGGAAAGCGGAATATTGCCGTTCAGAAGAAGAAAAAAAGGCTGAATATCCAAGAGGGTTACGCGGCGCAAGGCTGGTAGTGATGTCAAAGACATGTGGAGGATAGTAGCAGCAGCCATCTATTGTTGGAGTGGCGCGCGCTACAGTGCCGAGTGCCGTGACTCGTGCATTCGGCAACCTTGTCTCCCGGTACCGTCGATCTTCCGCCCTGTCACCCTGTCCCCGTTGCCGTGATGGACACTGCAACTGATACTTAGGGTTCCGCATCATAACTCTAATTCAAGGTAGTAGATCTAGCGACGGACAGCTGCGAAGCTTGTATCATGGCATCGCGCCAGGCCATCTCAGCTGTCCCTCATCTAGCCTGATCTCTGAGCCTCCGCCACGTACGAGTAGGCTGGGAAAAACAATCGTTGTCCTACCAACCTCTCAGCAACGGATCGTCAATATTATTCAGCCTCCATCTCCACAATATTCTCCAGTTTCCACGCGTCCTCATCCTCCGCAGTCCAATCGCCCGCTGCCCCAAGACGACTTCATCACGTCACCACCACAACAACAACCACCACCTCCAGCCATTTGTATTGTACGGTCCTCGCCATGGTGACCCTCCGCGCGCCGTCTTCGCTCCCCGCAACCGAAGCCTCCGCTTCAATCTCACCGCCCCAGTTGTCGTGGCTGTCAGGCTCGTGGAATGTGACGCACTCCACACTACCCATGTGGAAGAAGAACCGCAACGTCCGCATCACATACACGCCTGTTGCATCCACCACACCGCCGCAGATTGATGATGTGGTCACATACCAGGGTCTGAATTCGGATGCGCTCAAGACGGTGCATGGCGTCGATAAGCCCTTTGATGTGCCCAACACCGCACCGCCAGCTGTTGCAGAGGGAGGAGCAGGCGACGTCGCCAGTCTGGGATACAACTGGCGTGGCAAGGGATGGCTGGTGATTGCGACAAGCAAATGGGAGATACTAGGTTATGGCGACGAACAAGGCACCGGCAACAGCTGGGTCGTTACCTACTTTGCCAAGACTCTATTTACACCTGCAGGTATAGACTTCTACTCGCGCAAGGGCAGCCTGGCGCCCCAAACAATCAACGACATCAAGGCCGCGCTCGCTGGGCTTGGCGGTGATGTTGCCAAATTGGCAGGACAGATATTCGAGGTTAAAATGGATGCTGACACGAGTGGCTGAGCCTACAGTAAAGGGGAACTGAGATACACACGTCCATGGATAGAGCTAGATACCCAGGCATAGAGCCTCTACACGAAACTTTAATAATGTAATCCATCCATCTACATCAAACCACCTGAGAGAAATCTGCTCAAAGACTTGAAATTTATGGTAAAACACATTGAAACACGATAGTCCTTCCACCGCGGCTTTGAAAACATTCCAGACCCCCGGTTGCCTCGTCACAACTGCCCCCTCCCTTAGTCAAGCAGGTTTGTATACGGAGTTTGACTGGTATGCTGTGCTGCAATACTCGCATAATCGCTTCTCGGCTGACTCTGGCCTGGTTGAATCTGCGGCTCAGCATCAAGGTCAATGAGCAAGTCGGTGTCCATCTCAAGCCATTCTGCCTTAACTGGTGGAGTTGAGATGAGTCGGTTGCCAACACACGGCCGCATAGGCTTTGGGATAGATGCCTGAATACGCTCAAGGTACTCAGCTTCTTCTTGCCTCATCTTCGCCCGGAATCTCATGTCATCCTCTTCAACACCGCCGCCGTGTGCGTAAGCATCCCATTGCTCCGTGGTACCTTGTGGCAGCTGGGTCGTTCCCGAGCGTGTGGTCGAGAAAGCCATTCCATAATTAGAACTTCTAGGAACATCAAGTTTGGTTTCGAGGCTCAAGTTCTGTATGTTGGAGCGTGGTCCGCTACTGGAAGCAGCTCCTCTCGGTCCCACTTTCAAGACAGGCTTGATACCATCGCTTCGACGTTCGCACATGTGGCACCTGCATGGATCACAACACTCGGCTGTCGAACGTTAGTAAAGGCGTCTTACATACGCTCGGAAAAAGTTCAAACGTACCAACGCAGGGATGACCACATCTCTCTACACGCCTAGCACACTTTTGTGTACAATTGATCCTGTCGTGCTCGAAGCTAGCACAGGTTAGTCTGGATATTTAAGATATCGCAAAAATAACACCTACGGGTGGCATGTGTACGGACAACGGTGTCCGCATGGCAATACTCCATCGCACTTGGCGTCGCAACCGCCCTTGATGAGTTCAAAGTCACCAGGATCTTCACACCACACCTTACGCCCGTGGTTGCTGCATACAAGGGGGAGGTGGTACCCCACTCGTCGCTCCTGGCCAGCCTTGACCTTTGGCTTTTTGTTCTTGAACATGATTTCGACCACGCTGCCCCATATACTACTCTGACTAGCCAGAAGCTCGGCATTCCCGAATATGTAAAACCCACGTTTTGCTCGAGACAACGCCACGCATGCGCGATTCTCAGAGCTGAGAAAGCCGATGTTATTCTTCTTGTTGGAGCGAACCAGGGAGAGTAGTACAATATCATTCTCCTCGCCTTGGTAGCTGTCGACAGTGACGACTTGGATGCCTCGATAAACTCCCAAGTTTGGGTTCATTCTTATAAGTTGGGCTATTTGTCTTCTTTGGCCATTGTAGAATGTCAGGACTGTGATCTTGGTAGCATCAACACCGTTGAGAACCAAGTAATCGAGAAATTGAACCACCATCGCCGCTTCCCGTGCATTGTATGAAGACATGTAGATGTCACGGTCCTCTGGCCATTCGTGACAGAAGAAAAAACTGTTGTTTCCGCCCATCCCTTCAACCGGTGGACGATGGTCAGTGTTTTCCACATTTGGATGGTCTTTAAGCTTGTCTTCGTAGATTGGGCATAAGAGACGCCGTATTTCTGGTATCATGCGACGCTGGCGCGTCAACGTGTCGAACACAATATTGTTCCGAACTAGGCGCTCGAAAAGCGACAAGTTTAAAAAGTATGGCTCGTCTTCAAAGGCCCGTACCTGAGTATGAGGACGCAGCTGCTGGTGATCGCCAACCAAGATTAGATGCTCGAGGCTAGGGAAGCAGGCTGCAGTCACAGGCGCTTCGAGAGTCTCAGCTGCCTCTTCTACAATACACAAGCGCGGATGAAGGCTAGATAGAAGAGCCCGGTACTTTGCGAGACCTGTAGTTGTGCATCCAATAATACGTGCACCACGCAGGATACGTGCGTTCTCTTCGAACACTCCGATCTTGTGTTGTACAACATTGTCATGGTAGGTCTTTGCAATCTTGCGAATTTCTGTTGCAATCATTCGCTTCACTTCCCGTTTGAAAAAGTTATAGATCGCACCTCGGTCAGCCGTACGGATCGTGTAAAGATCATTCTTCTTGCGCAAGATGTCCCGAATATCAGCATTACTCAAAGAGGTACCAGTACCCTTGAAGTTATCGCTGATTTCAATGACAGGTCCACGAAGAGCTTCGATATCGTCATCATCCTGTGCTACCGCTTCTGCCTCAAGTTCCTGCAATTGTTCGACTTCAAAATCTTCTTCTTCATAGTCCCAGTCGAGATCCTCAGGGAGAGTGGGTCTGTCGCACGGCACAAGACATCTGCCAAGCCATTGTTCTATCAGAATGCCTGGATGGTTGGATGACGAGATCCCTATGGCATCTTGTGAGTCCATCTCCAGTGATTCTGCCTGCTTCTGAGTAATCAGCTCAAACTTTAAGAGTAAACTGTGATCAAGTGGCCCTTTGTTGGCTTCAATAGGAGCGAGCAATTTCTGGCATTCGGTTGTCAAGCTTTTGATCTTGCCAGACGCTTTCTTCTTGATACTGCTGCCACTCCCTTTTTGCTGTGGTGTCCTTGATTTGACTTCGAAAAGTGTCTGCTTCTTTATATCGTTGTCCTTGCTCCTTCCTCCTAGCCGTATGTAATTTGGTTCGAATACGGATGTGTGTCGTAATAGTTGGTCAAGAGCATGATTCGTCTGCGCAGTGACGATGATAGGCGCGTCTTTCTTGCGCAAATTATCGCGAGCGATTTGCAGAGCGACAACAGATACGAACGTTTTTCCTGTACCGGGAGGGCCTTGTACGATAGCCAACTCGCTTGTGAGCATACGCTTCAGTGCTCTGCTCTGCGATTCGTCAAGGAAATGAGAAGACGCTGCAGGCCAATTCTGGAGCACGTTGACATTCTCATAGTCCTCAGCATCCTCCATGCTGACAAGAGAGCTAAGATTTGTATATGGGTTGTGCTGGATGTAAGCAGGAGGGTCAACCTCCTTCTGGGCGTACACAAGGTACTTTGATAGCATGAATGGCTCCCTCATCAGTTGCTGCAAAGCCAATAGCGTATGCCTGTTTGCCTCGAAGAAGCTGGCTCTAGACTCTACCATGATCCATTTGCGCATAGGGTCGATCTCTTGATCTTCGGGTCGAGCAAAGAACAAGTCGATCGTGGGTGGGTTTTGTTCCAATGCACTGATGGGACGCGCTGCGACAATGGCAAGAACACACTGTGTCTTAAAGGCATCATCTGTGGGAGACAATGCGACAAGTGATCCAGTGATGAGGCGCTTCGACTGCCCCCATCTATAGTATGTTAGCTGTGAATACACTCTGGTCGTACTGCAACCCACCTGACATGCTTCTTGGCCCGTCCGAGTGAGAATGCAACTCTTGTCGCCAAGCCTCTGGGGGATAGTACAAGCGACTTGATGTAGACAGATTCATAGATGCCGATGCTTTGGTTCTGATACTCTGCTTCGTCTTTGAAAGGGTCGGTGCGGACCTCATCAATAGCCTCCCGGAGAGGACGAATAGTGTCTTCGCGCAGTAGCTCATACAAGGTTCTCAAGTAATCTTCCATGTCATCGTATGCACCCTCTACCTTGTGTGGGCGAACGTGATCGTTTAGTTCGATCAGTGATTCGCTGTTGGTGAAGCCGGACTTGTCACGTAGGACTTCGGAAGAGTTTGGAATCTCAGGTTGCTGAAGCCATGCCCCACCGATAACTGGCCTCTTGGCGCGCTCAAAATACTCGTAAATCTCGTTGCTGTTACGGGATGTGCCAGATATGGGAATGTTCTCGTCGAGCAGAGAGCTCTCTGGGAGGGAGTGAGAGTCCATCTCCGCTTCTAACATATGATCAGCACGTGTTCTCCTGATTTTAGGATACTGAAAATCGAGGCGACTCTTGGGTTAGAAGCAGCGGGAATACAACAACTGGCATGCGTTTTTGGTGTTGTCTGAAAGAGAGCGAACTCACCACTCCCTGCCATTTCGCCCAGGCTTGCATAGATATTGGCAGAATTTGTTTTGGGACCCCTGCGAGAAGCCGCGCTACGACTTCCCGAGTGGCTGACACGATTTGACCTTTTTCCAGAGCGGCGTACCATGTTTGTCTAGCAACTGTCTGGCTGTATGGACAAGCCAAGGACTGCGTTGAACAAGACGGCGATACACGGCAGTTGAAGCTGTTTGGGGTTGATGATGCTCACGCTCGCTGGCTTGGAATTTAAGACTCAGTTGTGAAGTGTTGTTTGCCATGACCTCGTCCGCAGACTAGGAAGGCACAGCGTCGTCGCAGCAAACAGAATGCGTCACGTGATATGTGAGACATGCGAATCCAATAGCTGTAAGAAGCACGGGGTGGCTGATTTGTGAGAAACTTGTGGCACAAACATCATAAATTAGAAGTATGCCCTAAGATCAGACTTCAAAATCAGTGTCATAAACAAGATGGTGATGGCAGGGGAGTTGACCAGCGGTGTGAAGGGACAAGCAAAACGGAGTTTGGTACACTTTGATGACTACTGGAAAGCTCTAATACCGAAACCAGTTGTACATCTCTTACTTGAATAGTCTTCTACTTGAACACACTGGGGACTGTTGAAAAGGGAATTAATAGAAGCATAGATGACTTAACGTTCAGGTTCTCGGGTCCCGGAAGACCGTTCTCGGACGATGAATATTGCTTAGGAGGGCAAGCAGGTACAGACATCCGGGTGTCTACGGAATTGACCAAAGGATGTAAGCTGTACATGCCAAGCATATTAACGAATGTTTGTGTATGGCCACGCCATCTCAGTTGTGTATAGTAGAGCATTGCAGGTAATGAGACGTGGGTTGTAGTGCTGTGTGCAAAAGATTTCTGGCGTCAGCAACGATGGGGTCTAGGTTTGGAAGCACGGCATGAGTGGGCTGATATGTATTTTACTGAGTTGATTAGCAAAGACTAGCAGACGGCAGTCGTGCGAACACCTGGATTGCATCTTTGGCGCAACACGGTATGGGGATGGTCGCTTGTCGCTAGACGCATTTCTGGCTGCAGGAAGCGGGTCGTACTCTAGAAACTTCCTGCGCGTGCCATCCGAACCCTGGATGCCATGACCGACACATGCAGCAATAGAAATTATGTATGTTTGTATTACAGTAGAGTATACTGATAAACCTGACTCTTCCGGTCGACAGGATAACAAGCAAGTATCTTGTTGAAAACCAGCCTGGACGGCGCAACAGCAGTCCGAGGGGAAGTCGTGTCCGCATAACGTCATCCCGCATATAATGCCGGACAGGACAGGGGCCAGGGCAAAGCCAAGTGCACATGTCAGCATGTTAGTTGGGTCGGGGCAATATGAGCGAGGGATTAATAGCATGCATATGGTTTGGTGTAGAATGCGTACGTCTACAGTAGAATGGTAGAGAAGGTGCTTGCGGCTGGGCCCTTGACGTCGAGACCAGGAAATGCTCGACGCGGGACATGCGGGTCGACGCGGAGATGCCGTCGCAGGCTCGCAGTTGGGCATGAAGATCTCAGCGGGCGGAGGATTGAGCGAGGACAGAGGGTCGGTCGAGGCCTGGGGCGTGTCGATCGGGCCGCTTCAAGTTGGGCCTGGGTTTGGATCGAGGTGGTGTTCCTGGGGCCGTCGTTCGACATCAGGTAGCGACTGGGGGCAGCGGCTCCAGGTGCCTGACATGTGTCCGGAGGGGTGGGACATGGCTGGTTCGGTGTAGTGCGAACGCGCGGTACCGACTCGAGCTGGCGGTAATGGTGGCAGCCTTTGTTCGCATCTGTGCTGGCTGGGCTGAGCGTGACTGACGACAGCTGACAGGCCCCGTCTCAGACAGCACGGCGTGGCCTCAACACCACGGCCGCAAAATCTCTTCTGCTCACCCTCACGCTCGCCGGCGAGGCCCTTCCAGCCGGCAGTGCACATGGCGGGCGGGCTGCTGCGAGCTGGGCCAAAAGGGCAGCGTCTGCCGCCGCGATTGGGCACAAAGGGCAGGATGCATCCTGGTGATCAGGGAGGGTGGTTTGGCGTAGCGTGGAGGTTACGTCATGGGCATTTTGAGCGCGCGCCCGACCTTGGTCTTGTTACCCACCCCACTACATGCATGCCCACCACGCACTCCAACTGGGCCCGTCTTCTCGATAACGTCAGGCCACGGCACAGCCTATTCTTCATTACCTTGCCCGCCCTCTTCTTTTCTTCCCACCCGCCCCCGTCTCCTTTTCCCAGCTCATCCGCACTCAGTCGCGCCTGAGAAAGAGAGAGACAGAGAGAGTGGCTCACCACCCCGCGCCATAGCCACACTCACCACTCACCACCACACCACTGTTATTACTTCGACTACTTACCGCCCCCCCCCCCTCTACATCCCTCCCCTGAAGTCGCTTGCTTGCTGCTCACCGGCGCAATGTCGCGACGCTATCCCACCGCAGAGCTCTATGAAGAGCGAGAGCGCGACTTCTACCGCAACGGCAACCGCAGTGACCGCAACTATGACGAGCTCGACTTCGAGTTGCGCCGCAGTGGTGTAGGCGCTGACCCCCGCCGCAGCATGCCTGACTTCTTGCGCGAAGACTACAATCGCCCAACCGCTGGTCCGCTGGTAATGCGAGGCCGTGACGACGACAGCTTCTCTAGGTCTGGACCCCGCAGTGCTCGTGGTTTTGACGATGACGTACGCTCGACTCGCAGCCGTCCCCCACCACCAGCCTCGTCAGTGCGCGAGGTTGAGCGCGACGACATCACAATCCGACGCCGCGAGCAGTCGCGCGGTCCCCCCGAGCGTGATGACATCGTCTTCCGCCGTGGTGATGGGCCCCCGGTCCGATCCGTCAGCCGACCTGCCCCACGTCAGGTGGATGATGACGAAGTGCGTTTCCGAGGCCGCACTAGCGACGACATCGACATCCGCGCTTCTCGCAGCGAGATCAGTCGCCATGGCCGCGACGTGTCTGCTGAGCGAGGCTCTATCCGCTTCCAGGAAAAAGACGGCAACTTTGAGATTCGTGCAAACCGCCGAGAATTCAGCCGTGATGGTAGGGACACCAGCAGAGAACGGAGTTCCTTGACAATCCGAGGCCGCGAAAGGAGTCTTCCACCTCCAGCACGCAACCGCGGCGAGCTGGTTGCTCGCGAGCGCGAGGAGTTTGTCATCCGTCGCCCCCGCGCAGAATCCCCGCCTCAGAACAACCGCGAAGTCATAAGAGACGAGATCATCATCAGACGCAAGGAAGAGCGTGCTCCTACCCCTTCGCCTTCTCCATCTCCGCCTCCCCCACCTCCACCGCCAGCTCCAGAACCAGAAATTCGCCCTCCCATCATTCAGGAGATCATCACCCACCACAGGCACATTGACCACGGTAAGTTGTGCACTTGCAAGATCCAGGTTTGGTACTGACTGTTTTGTAGGTGTCGTCAGAGCACGCTCCCCAACACCTCCTCCCCCACCGGCGCCTCCATCTCCTCCCCCACCAGTAAACGAGACCCTCGAGATTGAGATCAACCGCAGAGAGTATGTATGCCGTCTGGATACCACACACACAACTGCTAACACACGTCTAGAAGCCACAGCCGTGGACGCGGAAGGAGCGCCTTTGAGGAGCTTGACATTGACATCAACCTTAACCACCAGCATGTACGTCATTTAAATTCTTGTATCGGCTATGATCAAAACACTGACTGTGATAACCAGGGCGCCGTCAAGCAACGCAAGAAGGACATGTGGACCGAAATCACCAAAGATTTGGTCATCAGGGAGGCCATCGACTCGATGGGCTACGCATGCGAGGAAACAGATGACTTCTTCTACGTGATGGAGTATCTCAGATACGTAAGTTATGGAACAAGTCGAAGAGATGGCAGGTTGCTAACGCTACACAGGAGGACGTGCTGCACCTGGTAGAGCTCTCGGATGAAATCCGCCGCAAGCGCAAGAGCCGCATCCGGGAGATTGAAATTGAGCGCAAATCCATCCACAGCTCTAGGCCGACATCGGGCTACGACGAGCGGTACTACGAAACTGATCTACACTTTGACAGCCGCCGCAGCCGATACCACTAGAGGGCGGGTGTGAGAGCAGTTATTTGCATGATTTTCTTTGCTTGCCGGATCTGCGGGTTGAAGACTACTAGTCTTAAGCCAGTATTTGGGTCCACGACAATGCAGTCCACTTGTGTCGGCGAGTGGACTGCTCACTCGATCAAGGCGTTGTTGCAATGTCTCTGGGTTGCCGACACAGGACCTGGACGCTCCAGCACGCTTTGGTGGGAAAAGTCTCACTGTGACGCGGAACGACTTACAAGATTTCTACAGTCTGCAACGAGGATATAGCCTGTATGGACTAATGACTTGATGATTATGACGAGCATACCCGGGGTGGAGAAGGAAGAGAGGTTTCGTGTTTTCTTTGGGACGATGATGCCGATGACGATGGGGTTTCAATTCTGGCGCGGGGCACTAGGGTTTATGAGCATGGATGAATGAATCGGGTACGGAGGTACATAATTCTATTTCTGCTTTGAACGAATTCACGACTTGTTGGCATTAGCACGTGTGTAAAGTTGTGTGCAGTGCTGTGTGAAGGTACTATGAATAGAAGGCCATGATTGCCAATACGGTGGGATGTGGGGGTCAATCAGGCTGTATAGCGGGCGGCTTGCTTTTTCGGTGGAGGGGCAGTGGCAGTGCTGGATGCAGCGAGCGGCAAGGGGCTGGCGCGCACGATCAGACCACAAGTTCATTGAACAGAATGGCCGTGGCTTGTCTGTCGCAAAGCCATCAGCCCGAGTAGCTAGTATTCCACTCGCGGCCACTGCAACCTCTATTCGTCGTCGCAGTCCATGCATCACCATGCCGCCGTCGGGTGCTGCTAAAAATATACGCGCGTATCATTGTCTTGTCCTGTCCTGTCTCTTCCCCAACACCCAGGCCCCCAAAGGCAACTAACCAGCCAGTCGCATGAAGCCGCGCCCCCTTGCTTCATCCCCATCCCACGGGCGCTTCGCACCACAGCAACAAAGCAGTAGCAGCAGCAGCAGCAGCAACATGGTACTGCATTGCCCACTTTGTTTTTACGAGAAAAAAGTCCCGAGGCACACATGCAGCACGCACATACGCAACACATTACAGCCAATGCCCAGCGTAATCTGCCTACTTACCCGTTCCCCACTTACCCTTAAGCGCCCGCCCTCACCACCTACCACCCCGACTTATCCGCCCACCCACCCAATACAAGGCTGTAAACGCCCCCCTCGCCCATCGTTTGACACCCTGCAGGCATGCTGACTAGACTGGGGGGTTCTTTTCTTGTTCACCTCTACACTGCATTCGTTGGCTATGCGTGCATTGCGACTGGCCTCTGGACCCACGTTTCAGGGTGCGAGGAAAGCGTGTGTGTGTGTGTGTGATGGGTGGTGTTGTTGGCCCCCTCCCCCCCGCCGCCGGGCCATGTGGGCTTCGGAAGATGAAGTTTTGTCCCGGTTTGGGTTGGGTATGTGTGTGTGTAAAGTAGGAATGTTGTGGTACCTTGCGTACATATGTTTCCTTCCCCTCTCTCGCTCTTGTTACGCGCCCCCCCCCCCTTTGTATAAGGTTATTCGTGGATCCCGCCACCCGTCTCCTCTGCCTCTTTTCCTTTTCTGAACTTTGATATTGAGTTGGTGATGGCTTGATTGAAGAGATATTTACTACCATATTTTTTTTCAAAAGTTTACATCACACGCCAACAACAACAACAACAACAACGACGACGTCGTCATTCCTCGTTCACCCTCTTATCCTCCTTTCTATTGCAGACGCCGTACGGACGGAGCGAAAGCGAAGCCGAAGTCTTTCGCACGAGTCGAATCTTTTTTGCTTTTTTCCATCAATACGAAGCCTAGTTCTTGTTTTGGGCTGGACCTCCTCATTTCGTTCTCCACCACTTGCTTCTGTCGGGGATATTATCTTGATTTTTGTTCCTTCTTTTCTGGTTTTTGGTCTTGATTCTCAGCTCTTTCGTGCGCCAACTACGTCCTTCTTGCCTCCCTACCTGGTTCCTGGCATCACTCGACTTTTCTTTTCCAGAGGCCATATCTTTTGCGCACGCACGCCCTTGGTTCTTGAGAGAAGTATATCTTTTTTTGTCGCACGTTGCTCTGGGTAGCGGGCGCTATGATGGGTTCGCGACGAGAGATGATGGGTGTGGTATTTGCGCTGCTAGCATGTAAGTCTTTAGTCTCTGCTCTAGTCGATGTGTATAATGTCATACTAGAGGAATGGGATGACATATTGAAACATACCAACGGGTTTACTAACATGTTTGTATAGTCTTCTTGCCAATTGTAACGGCGCAAGGCACAACTTCCAACATCACTGCAGCATCTACTTTTTACTTTGACCGCACAGAAACCCAGTTTTCAGTCAACATTGCAGACGACTCGGACGATGTCTTCATCTACTTCGCCAGCCCGGCGTATTCGTGGGTCGGCGTTGGGTTTGGCCCCAAGATGCAAGGGAGTCTGATGTTCATCATGTATCCCAACAGCAAGGGCAACAGTACGTTTTCTCTTCATCTGTCTCGATCCTCCGACTTTTAGTCCCAGAGAATAAAACAAGCGGTACTAACCTCAAACCAGACGTCACTGTCTCCCCACGCATCGGCTCCTCAGGCGCCGAACCTACTTTCAACTCTTCAATTGACCTCTCGATCCTACCCGGTACCACTGTTAACGACTCAATGCTCATCTTAAAGGTACGCTGCGGCAACTGCCGCGACTACATGGACACGGAGGCAGAGTCTCAACCCATGATTTACGCGTTCGGTAACGGCGATAATCTCATGTCAAACTCGCCATCAGCAAACCTCGCGCGGCATTTTGGCTATGGCTCCTTCACCATGAACCTGCGCGCTGCCAACGGCCCTGGAGGCGTGCCCGCAAAGAGCAACGCACGAAACGGCGTCGAGATGCAAGGAGAAATGACCCGCGATCACGACCGGGCGAACCTTGCTCACGCCATCATGGGCTGCCTTGCACTTTTCATCCTCTGGCCATTGAACCTGATTGCTGTAGCGGTATTCAAGAACATCAAGATCCATGTGATGTTCAGCGCAATCATCCTGGTTTTCCTGATTGTCAGCTTTGTTCTGGGCGGGGTCGTCAGCGGACAATACAACCGCGTAAGTCTCTCCCCTATGTGATTATTCGAAACGTCGTAATACACAAGCATACTAACCCACCACCAGTCCAAAGCCTTCAACACCCCCCACCAAATCTTCGCCTTGGTCGCCATCCTCCCCTTACTCTTAATGTCGCTCCTCCCCGCCCTCAACCACATCAACGCCCGCCTCCGCAGCCTCCACACCCCGCTCGCCTCCACCTCCTTCGCCCTGCTCGTCCTAACCGGCGGCCTGGGCCTGCACCTCTCTTCGCAAACCCGCTCCATCATCCTCGTCTACACCGCCCTCTCCCTCGGCATCTTCATGTTCCTGATCCTCATGCACACCTGCATTCACAGACGCGGCTCCGCCCATGCGCGCGCCCTCAACCGCGGCTCAAACGACGACGCTATCATGCTCGCTAAAATGGACGACTGCAGGAGTATTCCTAGCGCCGCTGGCTTTGGAAATCAGCCCCCGCCGCCGTATCCGCCGCCGTATGGTAGTGCGGAGGTGGCAGGCGCTCAGCATCAGAGGAATGGGAGTCGCTCTATGTATGGGGGCGGCACCATGCCTGGACCGCACTATATGCTTAATATGCATCCTGGGGTGCCGGTGCAGGTTAGTAGAATGTGAGAGGGTAGTGGAAAAACCAAGGGCGAGGAAGAGACAGATTTACGATGATGACGATGGTGTGATTTCTTTTTTTTGCATTGCGAGGTTGGCATAGCATGGAGGGGAGTGCTTGTGTGGTTCAATCACCCTCTTTTATGATATTTTTTTATCTTTCATTTTCTGGTTGAAGCGGCTTTTGTTGTTGTCGTTTTTTTTTTACGAGCGAAAGATACCATGGTGTGTTTGTTGGGGCGAGTTTGAATGTGTATGTGTATGATATTGGGTTTCTATGAGATAGCATGAATCGAATCAATGTGTAGTGGATTCGTAGAGTAAATGTACCTATGGGGGTTTCCATCCCCCCGCTGAATTGTATTTGATGGGTTTAAATCACAGAATTGATAGTGCCAGAATGCGCAGTGTCGATCAAAAAGACTTGAATAGGAATCATACGGTACTTTTTTTTCCCAAGTAACAAGAGGTTATCGGGTTTAGTTGCGTACTTATCATACAAGTACATGGACAAATCCTCGAAAGTAGATGCGTACCTGCATAAATACCACATTGTTAAACTCCTACACACCTCACCTTCCTCTATCGCTACTCTATCCAAAGTCTCCTTGCCAACAAGCCCCGACAACCAGGTCATTGCATCCCGACGGCCCCCCCCCCCCATATCGCCGAAACACTCCGTTTGACGGAACAAACATCGCCACCGCATAACTGTCGAAAAGAATTTTTATACTTTACTCGCAACCAAACAACAAGGTTGTGTAAATCTCCGGAACCACCGATGTGCAAAAGACACATGGCTTGTGTGTGTTGCGTTATTCGCCTAATCAAGCAGAAACAGTCTCATGGGCATGAAGGGAAAAAAAACAATGATTGTAACCTACTCCCCAAACCCCCCCACCCCACCACAAGTAAATGTTTCTGGAGAGGGGCGTTTCAATGGGATAATAATAATGCGGCGGCAAGTCTGTTAATAGCCAGCATTAGCTTGGCAGGTTTTGCAGTTTTGAACGGCAGTTTGGTTCGCACGTCGGTCCGACGGATGCGTTTAATAAGATTTGAGAGAATCTGAGCTGACTATCTATATGTGGGCCGGAGGATGAGGTCGAATATTGTTCGACGGCAGAGATACGGGTGTCAGCTTCACAGGACATTGTACCGATTGGCGTGGGTGCATTGCCGGTGCGGTTGTACACCGCGCCACGAGATGAGGCTACACGAGGATCATGACCGGAGAGCTGCGGATGTTCAAAAGTCGAGAGATGGAATGGGCTGTGCTTGAATGGGTTACATGTGCAAGCTGTTGAGCGGATCTCGATATCAACGAGTACAAAAAAGCAGTGGCTTGCTTGCTTCTGGTGTTGTGCATTTGCCACATGTACCGCTCCGAGATGCGATGATCCCCGCTTCCGCTAGCGTATCGGGTTGGGGAGAGCGTGTGGCGCTGGGCTGGACTGGGCACAAAGGCCACCCATTCGCCGTGGAACGTCCGAAAACAAGACGGCGTAGCAAAACTGCCCCACGTATAGCTCTTCAAGGCGTGCAAATTGCGCAAAAGAGGCTATAGTAAGAGGTCCTGCTTTAAATATATTGGCATGTTCAGGCACATTGATAGGTGTTTCGCTGGCTGCTTCATCAGGTGTTTCACGAAGGGTGCGACACTCTGACAAGAGGTGGTCAGGGTCCATTGGTGTCGCACGTGACGATGACGCGGCGGATTGTCCTAAGGTTGCGCCATCTGAAGCACTGCCATCTTCTGACCCCGAACTCCTTATTACCTTCAATTCTGCACCATCTTTCACTCTCTTGTCATTTGAATCTTATCATCAATCAATCCTTACAATGTCTCCTAGCAAACTGGGCGTCTTTGCGAACTTGGCGCTGGCCGCCAGCGCCATCCTCATCCCGTCAACCATGGACTTGGACGAAGGCCACGCCTTGGAAGCGTTTGCAGTTAACCCCTTGCAGCGATCTGTTGCGCTTGAATGCCCGGGATGCGCTCTCGCAACCCTGGACGGTGATTCACTCAAGTGGAAGGAGGGTGCAGGCAACACATTCGTACGTTGTGCAACCTAGACGTCAAAACGTGGCATACTAACCTTTGACCAGCGCCTCGACTTTGACGTCGGACCCCAGGATGAGATTCTCAATCTTGACAGCGCACAAATCTTTCCTCCTTCGGTTGGCATGGCCTTTGCGACATATCATCTTACCCAAATGGACCCTTCTTCGGACGACGGCCTGCGTCTACGTATTACAGGCTTTGAGTTTGACTTCAACGGCGCCGAGACCATTTCGGAAGAGGGTACTGAGCTTCTTCCGATGACCCTTAAGATTACATCGGTTGAAGACATGCCTGTGGATCCTCCTGTGCTACAAATCAACATGCTGAAGAATGCCGAGGGCCGTCTTATGATTGCGTCGTTTAACAAGGCTGAGCCTAGCAGGGCTGGGCCTTCGGAGCAGGAATGCAATCAATGGCCTATGTACTGCAAGTGGAAGGGCATCATGGCCGACCGCCTTGAACAGCTTAAGCACATGGGCAAGCCCAAGCCCGGGTGCCACATGCGCATGCGCCCCCACAACCCCATGGAACATGAGACGATTGAGGGCAAGCCGCCACACCGCTTCCACCCCGGCAAGCCCCACGGTGAGGGCCAACACCACCACGCACACCACCACCGCATTGCCATGTTTGCTCGTCGTGCTTTCTTCACTATCTTTGTTCCTATTCTCATTGGCGTCTTCGCTGGTACCCTGACATACCTGGTTGGCATGGCGCTAGGATGTCTGATTGCCATGACGGTTGCCAAGTTCCGTGGCCAGAGGTACCAGGCTATTGCTCTGCGTGAGGAGGATGTCGAGGACTTTGAAGATGGTGATGTGGAAGAGGGCCTGAAGAAGGAAGAGCAGGGCGAGAAGGAGGAGTTTGCTGAGCTTCCAGCATACGATGCCCCCCCTGTGTACGATGAGGCGGCTGCCGACAAGACTGGCGACGAGACAAAGTAAAATAGTCAAGGGGATGGACTGGTATCACAGAATGGACGTGACGCGTTGATTTTGATGGACAGACTGTGACAGTGTTTTCGTTTGTTGATTTAGCAGACTGGTAGAATGGCTAGAATGTGAAATGAGTCCTTTTGTCTTGAATCAGTGTACTTTTGAACCACGTGAAGTTGCATTGAGTGATGTGATGTTCAAATGCACTGTTTCTTAATCGTCTCTCTCATTGGAACAGTGAAGAGTAGTTCGGTACAAAAGTCAGTCGAGCCACACTAGTACGTCACACTGGCTGCGCGTAGTTGGGTTTGGGTGAAGGCGCAGATCCGAGAGAGGGCGTGTTGTGCAAGTCATCGTTTGCCATTTCTGGAGGCTGTAAGCGGTGCATAGAACCAAGATACAAGGGATATATCGTGTCCAGGAACGTCATGTATGATTTTCAGGCACTGCAGTAGTCTCTGGCGGGGCGCAGACGCGATGCAGCAGCGGGGTGTTGGAGGAGTAAGGTGGACGCGTTGAGAATGAAGTTGGCGCACGGACCCCGCGCCCCCAGCCAGCAGTCGCAACTAGGAGGCGGGCGCGCCTGCCAGGTCAGGGCGCAATTCGAAGTGCTGCTTTCCAGGTCTTTTGATTTTGGTCGCAAATTGTGAGGGCGGCAACTCAGTCGCTTTTTGCTTCCATGTCCCCTCCCAACCCGGTTTAGCGCGGCCGCCTTTTGCGTGTGTGATCTCGAGGCAGCCGCCGCGCCCGTCCCTCGTCTATATAACCAGCCCGCCCACGCTCGCTGCACTCCTCTTCTTCCTCCTTTTTCGCATCCCCCCCAGCTTTTCCCATCTCCATCCACCAACCCCGCCCCATTTGCGTCTACAACCACAACCCATCACCCTCTATCCAACCAAACTTCTATCAACATGACTGGACGTAAGTACATTGACACTTCCCTTGTCATCGCTGCCCTCATCGCCTTTGGTGCGCGTTGCATCGTTGGTGTTGCATCGCTGCCTGCGTCTGGTTATGAGGCGCGCTTGGTGTTGAGGCTCAACGCGTCGCCCCACTATTGCGCCGCGCCTCTTACCCAACCCATCCGCGCCTATCACCACCTACACACACTCTCGATATACAGTATGCTAACATCTTTCCTCAGGCGGCAAAGGTGGCAAGGGCCTCGGCAAGGGCGGTGCCAAGCGTCACCGAAAGATTCTTCGTGACAACATCCAGGGTATCACCAAGCCCGCCATCCGTCGTCTTGCTCGTCGTGGTGGTGTCAAGCGTATTTCTGCTAGTAAGCATCCCCTGCATCCCCTTCTCACCGACCTTTCTCTAACATACCCTTAGTGATCTACGAAGAGACCCGTGGTGTCCTCAAGACCTTCCTCGAGAGCGTCATTCGTGATGCCGTCACATACACTGAGCACGCCAAGCGCAAGACTGTCACCTCGCTCGACGTTGTCTACGCTCTCAAGCGCCAGGGCCGTACCCTCTACGGTTTCGGTGGTTAAATTTCTCGTCACACATTGTTTATGGATATGATCTGGTCACGGCTATTAGTCTCTACGGCGTTAAGTTCATGGTGGTATGGGAATGATCAATATATGAAGCTTCCGTCTTCATCTTGGCTAGTCAAAGTCAATGCAAACAAGTTCAATGCACACCATATCGCGAGATGTGATGTTTCGTTTCGTCTTCATTCAGTTGCCGTGCTATCTTGCGTCGAGTTCCCCACCCAGCTTGCCACTGCTCCTTCAACGGCCTTGCATGTCCCCGTTACCCCAAACAGCCCACCCTCTACCCTGATACTCTCCAGACTCCACTTTTTCAGCTCGTCACTAACACTCTCGACCCCATCTTCGACGACCAAGACGTCATATCCCCTGTCGCTCGCCTCCCTCACTGTACTACTTACACATGCATCTGCCGTGACGCCACAGACCACCAGGTTCTTCACGCCTTTTGCCCTAAGCGCAAGATCCAACTCGGTGTGCACAAAAGCACCACGACCAGGCTTGTCAATCACCAACTCCCCCTCTACCGGCTTCAACTCGGCTATAATATCATGCCCCTCCTCCCCTCTAACCAACAGTCGCCCTAGTGGCCCTCGACTGCCAATCTGCGCCCCATTGATCGCACTCCTATGCGCCTCTCTGCTGCTCACCGTCGCTAGATGACCTTCGTGTCCTTCGCGCGTATGCACCACATGGAAGCCCGCTTTCCGGAAGGTGGATAGGAGCGAGGCCAAGCGCGGGATTAAATCGCTGAAGCGCGTGATTGAGTAGCCGGAGGAGGCAAGGTAGCCACCTGGATGCAAAAAGTCACGTTGCATGTCTATGAGGACGAGCGCGGTGGTGCTGGGGTGGAGGGAGGGCGTGTGTGGGAAGGGGTAGGGAGTTGTGCTGAGGATTTGTGTGATCATTGTTGGCGAGGTATCCTTGTGTTCCGCACTCTGCAGTCAGAAATTGTTGTGTTGTCTTTTTGCCCTTTTGGATGGTTCATTTGAAAAGAGGGGTTACGAGTACAGATTTGGATAGATCTGGGTGTTGGAGATTGCGGAGTTTGCATGGAACTGCCTTATTCGAGGCGAACCAAACGCTTACCACGCATGTTTACCTAAACTGCAAGATCGAAGTACGGATAGTTCTTGCTGCGCGGTACTGTGGGTCTGATACTTCACCCACTATCGAGGATCCGCAAGAATGACAATGTAACGTTCCCTCCATCTTCCATCCCTAAACTTGATCAACATCATGCCCTCAACATACCCACATCGCTCCATCCCCAACACTTTCCCAAGTACGAACCTTAAACACAAATCTCGACATGTCTGAAGAATAAAGAAAAATATAACCGTAAAAACAAGCTCTCGATACATCTGCCCTATCTTGTCCAACCATGACCCCCGCCCCACCTTCTCTACACGAACCCCGGTTTGCTCCTTCCTTCCCTATCTCCGCCAATCGCCACACACCCAGCCGACTGCGCGATAAGCCCCGTTTACAAACAGCCGACTGACCAACCAACCCCAATCCACGGAAATCCTCCAATCTTTTCAATGGGGTCGAGAGAGAGTTTTTTTGTTATCGGAAGGGAAGGGGGAGGAAAGAGGGGAGCAGTCAATGACGCAGGGTCAGGGTAGTACCGTATCCGCCCACCCCCCGTTCGTATTGTGGCTTATCGTGTGTTGCTCACGAGCTCCAATTGGGGGGGACTAAGGACCGCGAGATTTTTGTGGTTCGGGTCGGATATGCAGTGGGAAGTTTTAATAGATATATTCTGGGAGTGGGACCGCCCTTGAAATGGGAGTTTTCTTTTCTGGCTGGGTGAATCAGTTGCTTTCACACTTGTGATTTGATTTTACTTACTGCTTTTTTTTTCTCTTGGGTGAGGTAGTAAGGAGTCGATATGACGGATACGCTTGATGAGAAGAAGGTGCTGGATAGTACCGCTACCAGCGATGATGATGTGCTTGCGCAACTGGGGTATACCCAGGGTGAGTATGCTTCGGATGGCGGTCTTGAGTAGTATGCTAACGAGATGACAGAGTTGAAGCGCAGTTTTGGACTGCTGGGTATGATTGGCTTCTCATTTAGTATCGTCACATCATGGACTGCACTATCTGGCGTTCTTACTATCGGCGTGGAATCCGGAGGACCGCCAGTCATGATATGGGGCTGGTTGTGTGTTTGCTTGGTCACGCTCGCAGTGGCGTATTCCATGGCTGAGATGTGTAGCGCGTATGGAGTCCATGCACAATTTTGAGGGTTTTGCTGATTCTTTCTAGATACCCTGTTGCTGGTGGCCAGTACAGTTGGGTTGCCATACTCGCTCCTTCGCGCTGGGCTAAATCAATGAGCTATCTTTGTGGATGGCAAGTGCAAATAGAGGCTCGGGTTTCTGGGTTTGACTAACCCTCCCAGGTTCATGTTAATCGGAATAATATGCATGGGTTCAGTTAATAACAATGTAGCTGCAAACTTCCTACTTGGGACCGCCCAACTAAACTACGGGTTCACCATTGAACGCTGGCATACCGTCCTAGTCACGTACCTGATTACATGGGTCGCAGCCACCTCAAACATCTACCTCCCACATATCCTCAACAAGCTCTCCAAGGCCATTTTCATCTGGAACCTGACCTCGTTTGCCGTATGCTTCATCACCATCCTGGCCACGAACGACAAGAAACAATCGGCGAGCTATGTATTCACCGACTTTCAAAACTTTACCGGATGGAATGTGCCATATGCCACATGTCTCGGCCTGCTGCAGTCGGCCTTTGGAATGTGCTGTTATGACGCACCATCACACATGACGGAAGAGCTCAAGGATGCGCGTAAGCAGGCGCCTCGCGCAATCGTCATGTCAGTGTACATCGGATTCTTTACCGGCTTCGCATGGCTCGTCGCGCTGTGTTTCTGCATTGGCGATCTTGAGGCAACGGCCAGTACACCGACTGGAGTGCCAGTCATTGAAATCATGTTCCACTCTACAAACAGCATCGCAGGAACATCTGCCATGGCCTCAATGTTAAGCGTAATCACCGTGGTATGTGCCAATTCGCTCATGGCAGAGGGATCGAGGGCTGTCTATGCGTTTGCACGTGACAACGGTCTACCGTTTTCCAACGTGCTCAGCACTGTATCCGAGCGATCGGTTCCCGTGTATGCAGTCTTGCTCACGACCGTTGTGCAAATGGCTTTCAACTCTATCTATTTTGGCACAACAACTGGTTTCAATACCATCATCGGCATTGCCACTCAAGGATTCTGTAAGTCAAACCCCCCTGTTTGCTCAACCCTTGGAAATGGACTTGACATGCTCATGCCGTTCCCAACAGATCTATCATACCTCATGCCTCTTCTCTCTCGCATCCTGGCACACTTTTCAGGCAAAAAGACACGTCTCGAGGGCTCATACTCGCTCGGAAGATGGGGCATTGTGCTCAACATCATCGGCTTCTTGTACCTCACCTTCGTATGCGTGGTTTCGAACTTGCCCACCGTTACGCCCGTGACGAGCGAGAATATGAATTACACGTCTGCTGCCACTGGCGCAGTGATGCTGCTTAGCCTTGTGTTTTGGATCATGACAGGCAGGAAGAAGTTTACAGGGCCAGCGTATGATGAGTTCGCGGATACGAGCAGGCTGGCTGCGTAGAGTATGCAGACAGTGTAAAGCTGGGATGCTGAGCGGGAGATGAGCGTTTAGCGCCATGCTTGACCTTGCTCGATGCAGGTACCATGCTTGAAAAGAAAGAATGATGCAGTAAGACGGTGAAGAAGGAAAAATGAAAAAAAGGAGGCTAGAAGCATGGTAGGGCTGCAGAATTCTCCCTTTTAGCCAGTAGAAAGGTATATTTCCCAACAAGTTCGCCTGCGGTGTGGGAAAATAAAGTGCAGTATACTAGCGGTGAAGGGCATGGTTGCGGAGCTGACAGGTGGGATAGCAGGTAGGTTCGCAGACTATTCCCTGCAGATCTGTCGCGTACCTGAGCCTCCTTTACTAGGGTGAAAGGCGATCTCTTCACCGCACCGCACCGGGGTTGGATTTTCCCGAATGCGACGGAAGACGGCTGATATTATGAATCAGCATTTGTGCCATATTATTCAGAAATATGCTGAAACAATGAAGCGGATGGTACGGCATCATCTCACCAATTGTTCCTGATTTCCTCGCCTTGTTAGACTTGCCAGCACATTGAGCAGGGGAGTGTTCCCGCTAGTGTGGAGACTAGCGCCCGTGCTAGCTCCGGACCCGGTGCCTTGGCGCATGCGACAATGCCAACAAAGAAGCTAGCCACCGCATAAAGACTTCAACGGCCAGGTTGCGGTGAGTAACCCAACTTGCGCAATGAATGAGGAATCAGATTATGATCGTATAGTAGAGCTGACGGGGCAGAAGGAGGCTCTGGAGAGACATTATGCTGTGCTCAAGGATGAGTTGACAAAGGCAGAGAGCTCGCTGCGCGCTGCGAACGACGAGCTCAAGAGAAGTACAGATGCGTTGGACATTGAAAAGGACAAATCCAAGGGCCTCCATACGCTCATCAAGAAGCTCGAAAAGGACATTGATCACGAAAAAGCCGCCACCAAAGACGCTGAGGAACGCGTAGAAGAACTCTACACGGATCTCAACCAGTCGCGCTTTGCCCATCGCTCTGCCCTCATCGACCGCGATGAGGCGCTCGCCGACCACCGGGACTTGAAGCTCCAACTTGAGGATCTGAAGGAACAATGGCAAGAGTCGGAGGAGAGGATTGCGGCCCTGGAGGCTGAGCTGGAAGAGGCACAAAAGGCCGTCGACCATGCCCAAGACATAGAGCACGACATAAGCGCACTGCGCGAGCAGATTGGCGAACAGGAGCGCACCATAATTGTCAAGGATGAGCGAATCAGCCACCTTGAAATGCAGGTGCAGAAGGAGAGACAGCGCACCTATCACGCTGCCGACGCGATTGCTCGAGAAAACGCTGCCTCTCCCGTCGACGAGGACCAGCACATTGGCGCTATTGGCGAGTCGCTGGCTTCTGAGCTTTCGGCCATCGACGACGCAGATTTTTACGAAATTGACTGGAACGACTACTCGCACATCCAAGAGACGCCTCTCACCTATGCGCCAATTGCGCCAGCTGTCCAGCCGCCTTCAGTCATTCATACCCAGGAATCTGTTAGCATTTCACCGGTTGCTGCTCATGTACCCCGACTTACACTCGACGTGCGCGAAGCCGGTCGCCTGGAGCCTCGCGAACCCGCTCTGGATGCACCTTTTACTATCAGCGTTAACGAGGGTACTAGCACAGAGCCCGTTGCTACGGCAGTATCTAAACACACGTTGATTGTGCGTGAGACGGCAAGCACTGGGCCCATCGAGCCCGCTCGCGCCCCTCTGTCGAGCATGTACACGAGCGAAATTGCCAACGTTGCACCGCGAGGGCCTGCCCGGGTTGCGGCGAGCAGCTTGAATCAGCACGAAATTGTCAGTATTGCACCACAAGAACCTGGAGTCACGACATTAACGGTGAGTGTGAGGGAAGCTGGCAGCACGATCCCGACACTGCGCCACAACTCCACCTCGGACTGCTCGGCCCAGACCGACGCCGCCCGACTCACAACCGAGTTCGCTGGCTACGCGTCTGTTAGCACGACTCCAAGCACACCTGTCCGGGTCGGAACGGCTGAATCTCCTACTCAAACGGATTCACCAGTGCTTCGCGACCAGCTCGTCGATTACGCGACTGTCAGCACAGTTCCGATTGCAGCCGTTGAAGCCGTCGCTGCAGAAGCCGTCGCATCGACGCTTTCTGGCCCTCATTCTGTTCTGGACATCGCTCCTGTTGCACCTACGGTGGTCGAGCGCAAATTCACCGCCTCCGTCACCAAAGGGACCCAAACCGTTCCCGAGAGCCCGACGGCAGGCTCGCCCAACGAGTTTGTCTCTGTCGTGACGACGCACGAGGTGCAGCCTGAAAACATTGTTGTGCGAGTCAAGCCTAAAGTTGTCATGCTCAGCATGGGGGTCCAGACGATTGCAGAGACACCTAGTGTTGTCGATGATAAAGAAGAAGTAGAGCCGCGTGCTCCACAACCCATTCCTGCAACGGTGCCCAAGACGGCATTCGAAGCCGTCATGGATTGGTTGCCCACCTTGCTCAACCTCGCCCTGGCAGTCTTCTGCCTCTACCTCTACATGCGACTCAACGCGTGGCAACGCGCCAATGGCGTGGGACTCGGCGGTGGGCGCGGCAACAGCGCTACCCGCAGCGGCGCATACGGCAATGGACGATACCTATTTGGCATTTTCCCCGTGGGCATGAACGAGGGCGAGTCGTGGTGGAGCGAGAAGATTGCGCGGCACACGTCGTCTGCTGTGTCGCGGCTCGAGGACTGGGCCGGATTCGCGAATGAACCGCTTTATTGAGCGGTTTTTGTTCGTCATTGACATGGTCTTTGTCAGTTCCAGTTCGCTTCGTTGTCCTCGTCCTTGTTCTCGTCCTCGTCCTCCCTTTTTTTCTCACAAGTTTTTTCTGTTTTTGTTTCTTTGTTTTTTTTTATGAGGGCGCAACGGGATACACCGATTTCACGAACGACGACACTTTTACGAAGCGACAATTTGCGAGGAGAGGGAGTTTTTTTTTTGGTTCTTCTCCAATCAGGACTGACCTTTTTCCAAGCCTTGATTTTTTTTCTTGTTTTTGTTTTCTTTTACACACACACACACAAAGCATCATGCACCAAAGTCAAAAGATATACTCTCATCATCCACCCTCCCCCCTTTGATACCCCCCTTTTTTTAGTTTTTTTTTCTGTTTTCACGATGAAATTGGCAAGATTATAAGATATACACATATGCATGTGGATGGGGAGATGGTTAGTAATGAAGTAGCAGTTGTGGTAATATCGAGGGAGAAGAGAGAGAGAGAGAGAGACAAGATTGTATGAAGGAGGAATGAAATGGAAATGAGAATGAGAATGGCAACAAATGTATATACGAGTCATGGGAATTTTTGATTTTACGAGTTGATAGAGAGAGAGAGAGAGAGAGAGAGAGAGAGAGAGAGAGAGAGGAAATTGAGTTTTGGGGAAGCAAAAATTACGACAATTATTTTGAAAGGGGAGGAGAGAAGACTTTATAATTCTGACTTTTGAATATTGACTCTATAT